CATCGAAGCTCAGTCCAGAATAAAACCAGCAACAGGCTTGATCCCATTTACTACTCTAGTTGCAATGCTTTGATGCCACAGAGAACTATCAACCAACTCTGCAGCTCTACAAGAGATTGTAGAAGCCAGTTTTAGCTCATTTTGGTGTTTTTGGTTTTACAGCACATTTGCTGCTCTGGTTCACTGCTATTAAGCTAAAAGGAGAGTGAATATTGGGCATTCATCAAGTGGATGAAAGCACATCTCCAGATAAGTGATTGGCCTCACCAAAAAGCCTGTTATTGCCAAAATTGCCAAAAACAAAATAATGCAACCTTAAAGGACAAGTGTGTAGGATTTAGTGGCATCCAGCCGTGAGGTTGCAGATTGTAACTGAGTACCGCTCACCTTCCAAGCATGTAGGGGTGGAAACTTGCGAAAGGCTCTATCTAGAGCCAGTGTTTGGTTGGTCCAATATTAGAAACATAGAGGAGGACCCACTCCCTCTGTAGATAAAAACGGCTCATTCTAAGGTGAAGGGAGCAATTCTTATTTTCAGGTGATTATACACTAATAAAAACATAACTATGAATATTTATATGCTATTTCTGCCAATAGATCCTCTTAATTGTTACACACTCGACCATTTGGGGGTTTTAAATTCATTCATTCATAAAAATACTGATTAGTGCAGCTTTAAACTCAAAGCACTTGGAAGATTTAAAGGATAAAAGATGGCTGCCAAACACAATCAAACAGATTAACAATTTCCATAGCAACCAGTGTTGAGCCGAACAGTTCGACAATACATATTGTCAGTTTAGTCATTTTCCTCTCTCCAAGCTGGAGGAGATAGATTTGTTTCTTCTCAATCTAACATCAGCGCGCACACATACACACTCACACACACACACACCAAGGCACTTCCTCCCTCTCCTTTCAGCTATGATGCTTTCTTGGTTGCCGTGGCAGCCAACGAGTATCTCTGGTGCCAGGCAGAAATGGGCTCTGATTGGTTAATCAGTATTCAAACTGCGTGTTTGCTTGGCTGGATGCTGCTCTGCTCTACTCTGTGTGTGTGTGTCCATCAAATGTCACTTATCACCTGAGAGATAAATTATTCCTCTCTCTTCTCCTGCCTTCACGTTCCTCTTTGCTCGTCAACCTTTTCTTCCCTGTCCTGTTGTTGTGAAGAAGAGGAGAGAAGGAGGAGCGATGAATGAAGTGGAGGGTTATAAAGGGGGAGAGTAGAAGAAGCATGGAAGGGGCTTGGGAGAGAAAAAGGGAAGCAAAAAGAGGAGAGGGGGTCAAAGGGGAAGACGTGAAGAAGAATGAGTGAGAGAGATTGTATGATATGTGTCACCCTGACGACTCTGACCTCTGACCTTCATCCATACGGTTTAGCCAGAGGAGGTTTAGGTTGTCAATCAAAGCTTGATTTAGAATCCTAATGAATCATTTGGTTCAAATTTCCTACAAATACATATCAATACATTATGTAGTTCTTCTTTACGATCCCCATCCTGGGTTTCAGTGCAGACTTTTACATAAATCAAAAAGAGAAGTAGAAGCAGTAATTACAAAACAGTAGGGTGTTTGATCTTAACCTTTCAGGGTGATTGACAGCAGTCTGGTTACCATGGGGATATAATGAAACTGCAGACTGCCTTACATAATGCTATTGTTGTGTAAAAACCTCACATTGTTGCTGATTTTCAGCTTCCATTCAAGGATCACACGCTCCTCTAAGGGGCGAGGAAATTCCGACCACATGTTGGTTCATGAGATCGTTTAAAAACACCACTGGATAAAAAAGAAAAATGACGGAGATCTGTCTACACACTGCTCTTTTTAGTTTCACAGGTAGATACAAGGTTTTCACGTGACAGCAGCGGTGAGTGAGGGACATTGCAGCTTGAAGTGGCCATGATTACTATGAAAACCATCTATGACGTATGCCTTTGTGTGCATGTGCATACGTGTGTGTGTGTGTGTTCATGTAAGTAAGTGTGTGTGTGCACGCACTGGAGCGCCTGTTGTCTTTGATGATAATGAGGCAGACAGAAACAGGCTCTCAAGTGAGCTCTCAATGCCACCTCAAACACATTGCCTCGGCATGGGCATACTATCTGTGTGTGTGTGTGTGTGTGTGCGTGTGCGTGCATTTGTGGTAGATAAGAGACCAAAAATCCCAACTCGGTGCTGTTTTAATGAAATTAATCAAAAAGACAGGAAATCGAAACATTTTGTGCTATGTGATAACAAAATGTCATTTTGCTTTCCGGCTATAATTGGCTGCTTTTTAATAAGAGATTACTGTTTGGCCATTTTGCTTTGTGCATAATGGAGTTTTAGTTTAGCTGGTGGCCAAAGTGATCTCATTGGTTGAGTCAAGCCACACTGAATTAACCATTTGTTTTTAAAAAAAATACAGAGGTCAAGAGTCCAAATTTTACCAGCAGAATGCCTTTTTTGATCATTGCTAGGTGCACCTGTGAAGTTACCCATATATAGGGTGACTCATCATGCTAATCCAATGTGGACATTTACCCTCTATGCACATTTTTTACTGTCTCTACAGCCCTGTAATGTATGTACTAGAAATATTAGACTGAAGTTTGAATCTCTTTTTGCTCTCTGTGTGCGACTCCTCCCTTGCTGCATTTAAACCTTCATTTATACAGGAAATCTCACTGAGATACGGGGGTCTCATTCTTGAGAAGGACCTGATACTGTAAACCTTTTTCTGCCCGTTCTTCGGCTCACATGATGCAAGCACCATGGAGGTTTTCGACAGGCTGCTACTGCTATGAAGAATTACAGGAATATGAACATGCGACATACGTATATTAAAATAGATTAGACTCTTTTAAGATAGATAGCACAAAATATTCCTTTTGTTCAGGTGGACCAGCTGTTAAAGGGTTAAAAGATAATAGACTGTCTTCCCAGAAAGACTACACAGATCTAGACTCTGTCATTGACTTCATCCAGGATCAATTACAAGGTCTGGAGAAGATGCATGGGTATATGATGGATGTTTATGCAGAGAAAGATAACAACTCATAATAGCTCCATGATAGGCCTGCACAGCATATAAATTGTATCGGATACACGAACATGGAAGAACTACAAATGAGCAGCTGTGCCTATTCTTAACATCACTTTGCTCATATTAAAGTCGTCTAATTGAATTTGTCTGCAGAGTGATGAAGCACACAAGTGCACTATAATGGCAAAGTATAAAAGTGAAGACCGACGGCGGCCTCTGAGCTCAGCATGAGTGACACTACAAAACATCACCGTGCACACGATAACAGAGCGAATGGTGAAACAAAATGCCTAAAATGACAAAGAATGACAGAAAGACATATTAAGGTGAAATAACCGAGGCGTGTTGCAGGAAATAAAATCATGACAAAGTCTTGAATCTTAGTAGAAGTGATAAAAAGTGTGGAAGCATTAGACCGATCAGTTTGAATGAGATATGAAGCATGCAGCATTGCAGATATAATTAGAGTTACAGTCCTTGATAACCCCCTTTCTTGCTAATTAAACACCATGTTGCCCTTCAAAGTACACCTAATTTACATTAAATTTACATATGCAGATTTTAATTACATCCACCTAATTACAGTATTTGCTGGTTCATCTGTCATTTAAAGGAGGCCAAGCGATGCGATGTGGGTGTGTGTGTGTTTCTGGTTGCCTGTCAACCTGTCTGAATGTGTCTGCCGAGCTGTCTCCTCAGCTCTCTCTATACATATCTGCCTGATAATGGTGCTGCTTAATGGTTCTTCCATCATACGGTATTCGCACAAAATCAAGAGGGTAGTTAAATCCTTGTGTGTTGATTGCTAATTCTTTCCCCTCCCCTCCCCCCCGTTCATTCGTGTAAGGGGGTTTCTTTTGAAATGTTGTTGTCAGTGAAGTGCATTTTTGATCAGTGAGGTCCGTGTTTTCTGATTTTGTGAATTATGCGAGCCATCACCGCAGGCCTACAATGGCGCCACACCTTTCGAATCACATTTCCAGTTTTGTTCATCATATCAAATGCATTCGAATACATGAATCATCTTTCTCAAATCATTTTGTGACAAGGTTATTTTTAAGGGTGCCTTTTATACCTTTTTATACCTTTTAAAATCTTTATTTCAGTTGATATTATGTTTCCAGATGCAGATTCCCAAATCAATTATTCAAATTACCACCAATTAACTAAAATACAAGACACCTAGGGCAGCATAGTTTGGTTTCTGGAGCTCATGGCAAAATATAATGTAGCTGCTATATGCGTAGCGTGCTAGGTGCACTCTACCTGATAGGTAGTTAAAGGCAACAGGATACAATAGACTGACAGTGGTAGGAATGGGGGGTCAATAAAGGCCCACAGCTCATTTTACCCAGCTGCCTTTAGCTGATTAAGCTGGTCCTGTTTGTCTCTGTCTGTTTTGGGTTGTGTTATACTACAGTGTTTGCCATTTCAACTCATTCAGTACACCCGTTAATAGGATGATAAACAAATGTACTGCCAGCTACTGATGAAATACTCCTTCCAAGCTTCCGAAAAATAATGTCAGCTTAAAACAACACAAAGCTACTCACTTACTGACAACGGCACTTACTTTGAAGGGTTTTATTTTGTTAAAAGTCTGAGCTGAAGCCACTGTACAAATAGCTAAAAAGTCTACTGTCCTTTTGCCAAGCAAAGTCACTCACTTACTGCACATTTTCTGCTGCTGGAATGGCTGATAATACAGTCTGCCCTTCGGTCAACACAAAGGATGAATCCACTTTATTGAAGGGGATCAGGTGTGTATGAGTGAGTGTGAGTGTGTGTGTGTGTGTGTGTGTGTGGAGAGACACTGGTTGGTGGACATTGCAAACCTTTAAGTGAGAGTTGTAATGTTGAATATATGAATACATTCAGGGATAATATCTATTGATGATTTAAGAGTTAATATAAAAATAAACGAGACAGCATCGTGTAGTAAATCAGCCAATCAATCAGTTCAGTCACATTTCCTTTCTATAAATCCTTTATTCAATATCATTGATTTCTGTGTGTATACAATGAATTAGACACAAACTGTACAGTGCAGACAAACTCTGTTTGCATAATATGTATGTAAAGGTAACTGTACATTTACTGACAGACAGAGTAATTTCCTTTAAGGTTAGCACCAGTGACATTTTGCTTTTGGCTCATAGCTAGCGTGGTTTGCACGAGCAAGATACAGCAGGTTGTGGTAAGTCTATGACTGTATTTAATGTGTCCGCCACCATCTTTACTTTACTTTATCTGGACACATTTTTCTGCACTTACTTACAGTTTCACTTTGAAAAGCAAACATGTAATTATGTGTGCACTTTATTCCACTAGCCCTGTTCAAGGACCCTCATATCAATGATAAAACAGTCAAAAAGCTGCTCCTAACATTTGTACCAGGAATAATGTTAAAAATACAAACTCACAAGCTTTTCAATGAATGAAAAGGTAGGAAAAAAGCATCAGGCCAAGAAAGGTCTTTACTGTTGAAGTCAATATAAACCATGAAAACCATAAAGGTGCTTCACTTGTTCCTGGAGTGCAGCTCCTGTGTTGCTGTAATACAGTTTCTGACCACCGGTGGCATCACTAAGAACACCCACTCCAGTCAGTGAGCGAGGAAGAAAACCTGCACCATCTTTATTTTGACAGTAATAGAGTGCTGCAGGAATGAATCCTAAAACCCGTTGTTTTGCACCTCCGGTTCCCTCGTCTCAAAATCAGTGGGTTTTTAAATAGATTTCTGGTTAGAAGCCTGAAATCAGGTCTGTGGTTAACACAAACTTTTAAAAGATTTGTACGTTTTGTTCTGTGACATAAAATACATCAGTAAATACCTGACCTGTGAGTTTTGTCACATTACAAAAGGCGGTTGCTAACAAGTGCTGTAAATGGGAATACAGGGGTTGTCAGAAACATTAAACGTCAGCACGGAGAGCACAACTTATCACTCACTAGTCCACCTTTTCCCCCGAAATTCCACCAGGGACGGTTTTATAACACTTCAAATCCCAACGAGAGCATTTCAGAACAGCCTAACGTTAGCTTTTTACTTCCGGCAATCCCATTTACGTTTAAAAAATCATAAAAGTGGTGTTCATTTGTGAAGATGATGTTGTTGAACAAAACGTGCAGGTATCATAAACATCTGTTCAGCACAGTTTCTTTTCTGCAATAATCCCAAATCCCTTTGGCTTTTTGTTGAAAGAACCAGGACGATGCTAACTTCCAGCCTGGCCTACAGAAATACATCATCCCAGCAGCACTCTATTGGCAGACTTTTTTCGGTCTGAGTCATGTGCATTTTTTGTTACTTTACACCATTTTTGCCAACTTGTAAGTCACTTAGAAGATTGCCTACCATCTGGTGTGTATTTTCAAAACCGCTACTGTATGTAGCCTGAAGGTCCCTGATCAGGGCTAGTTACTAACAATCATTTCTACATCTACCAGCATCTAAAATAACTTCCTGAGCTCAATCCATCATTGTTAAAAGAAGCAGCAAAGGATATCAGGCAATTACTTGTTCCTGTTTTTTCGTTTTATAATTTTGGTTTTCCTGCTTTCAGCCACCAGAATTAAATATTGATGCTCCGCCGAAAGTGCTCCAAGAACGACATGCATTAGTGTAACAATGTTAGCGATATGAAATAATTTTGATTCATTCTTCCTTTGCTCCATTATTGCAATGATGGATAATGCTTCAAAAGCAATATGTCTCTGTAGGTTGTTTCTGATGCCACTGGAAACCAAATGTGTAAGATTCTGAATGTATAAATGGAACAAATATCAAAAGTGGCAGCATCATCTCAACCAGTGCAAACCGATGGCAGAAACGAGCCAGATGCAAAGTTTTACTGGTGCTAGGCTGTAAATGTTTGTTTTCTTTTGATAACACATTTCCTACATTACCACATGCATTAGCCCCGGTCATCTTTCCTCTTTTAAAAACCATGCAACAAGTGGGAAACAGTCCAAACAGAGCGAGGAGGAGGAGGAGGTGGAAGAGAAAAGACGAGGTGGGAGTTAAGTTCTCTGGCTGCATGATTACAAAACGAGCAGAGAGCGAAAGCTAGCATAGTGAACAGAAGATTGGGGATCAAAGGATAATTGAAAAGTAAAATAGGATGAAGAGTGTGTCTGCTGTGTGTGTGTGTGTGCGTGTGGGATGAGAGTGTTCGGAGAAAGAAACAGCTGGGAGGAGAGCGCGTTTACTGTCGGATTCAGATGTAATAAGGCAGCCTGTTGTAAGAGGAATAAAGTGAAACTGGGGGGAAAAGAAACGGCAAAGAAAACCTGAGGGAGACAAGCTACATCATGAGTACAGTGCTACCTATCACATGTTCCTGTGTCTCTAAAGTGCACCTGCACTGCAGCGGTCATGTCACTAAAGCCTTTTGTTGTCCTATTATGTCTTGTGTCCATTTTGTGCCTTCTGATTTCAGAGCTACAGTTCACGCAGGACAAAGTAAGATGGCTACATGTGTACTTGCCATGAGACCATGAGTGGTCCTTGTGTGTGGAAATTAAAAGTGACCCAGGTTGTCGTGATTGCTCACTTCTAATTAAATCAGCTGCTCTCTTCCTGCACTGGGCCCGCTGTTAGATATCTCATAATTGTAGCCTTGGTACCTGGCTAACCACCAGTGGAGAGAAGTCTCTCAGGAGACGCTGACAGTAATTGCGCCTTCGTTGTTTGAACCAGGAACTGTGATTACCAGCCTGGAAACACTTTTGTAGCGGTGTTTTTGGTCAGTAGCCAGGAAACCAGGCCATTTTTCTCTGGCCTCAACCATTATTAATTCTCGAGGACGTGCCACAGATCTCCAGCAGGCGCTTTCACAGGATGTGAACCCGTTTGCTAACCTAACAAGCAGGGACTCTCTGAATGGAGAAAGATTTGGTTCCTCTGCTAAGTCAGTGTTTTTTCTCTGTAGGACAAATTAGCTGCTTAATAATCATTCAGCGAGTAGCAGTTTCTGTCCTGGAGTCTTGTTGCCGATTGTATCTCCTAATGGTTGCTCCGGCAAGTACAAAAACATCCTCTGTACTGTAATTAAAGTGGCTTCTTAGAAAGGTTCTATTTAGACATAGGCAGAAACAGGATACATTCAAAAATAAAAAAGGAGGTTTACAGACCTGATTGTCAGGGTTTATTCTTTTACCGTTTTGCTTAGTAACCCCTAGTGTGACACACAACAAGTACTCAACAAATGTTACATCCACATTTCTTGGACGTGAGACTTAAGCACAACACCGGTTTGAAAGACTTCTTCCTCATCAACATCAACCCGCCTTGTTCTCCAAGTAACGCAAGACAGGACAGAGCTGAAGTCAAGCGACACTAAGAATTTTGTAAATCTTGGGTAAACTCTGCTGGGACCTGGGAGCGTTTAGCATAAATCTACAGCCGCCCTGGATCTCAACGTCTCAGGCTTGGCTGGGGATGAGAGGCACTCACATAGCAAGGATCTACAGTACTACCCAGCAAAAATAACACTTTTCTGATGATCCGACAGCAGCAATACAATTCACGTGTACTCGCAGATTTTCAGCATCAAGATTACAGTTTAGTGACACACAAACTTAAAATTCTAACATCTCTCTTGAATCTTTTTTTTCCCCCACACATATATAAATTACATTTTGGTTTTAATGAATTCCTGTTTTGTAATTGTCAGTCTGAAATGTTTTTCTTTCAAAACAGTAGTTAAGGATGAGCACATTAGGCTAGATGAGCTCATGTAATGTGAGCTGGTCAGCCACACATATTTGGACACAAAGGCAAGTAACAGCTAATGAGATCAGAGAAGGGGAGAAGTATGTGAGGAACAAATCTGAGAAATGCCAATTAGAAACACTGTGAGCTGTCTAGTATTTTCACAGTCTGTTCAGCTGCGGAGTGTATCCTCTGTACAACACAGCGGGACAACATTAAACAGAGTGGCTTCACTTGTGTGCAGCAGTGCACACAGACACACACCTGTTGCCAAGGCTGGGGATGCAGCTGATTCGGGCTGCTGCTTGTTTAATGTCGGAACAAGTGCGAGGATTAATCATACGGCTTTGTTTCTTTTTACTTTGTCTTGTTATTTCTTTGTAGTTTTGGTAACGTCAGGGGAGGTCATTCATCTTCAGCAAAAAAGACACCGTCTCAATGATCAAATTAAAATGCAAAGTGCTTATTTTGCACAAAATTGGGATTCAAAGCAAGAGAGGTGCACGGTTTCTGTTTTTTACTCAATTTGCATGTGTCTGCATCATTGCCAGTGACACTAATACAGTATGAAGTGTGGGATCACAGTATTAATGTCTCCTCAGTGATATGACTACTGGAGAAACTTTTTGAGGAGTTAATTGGCGTTGAGTCTTGCCGTGTAAGAAAAATGAGTAAACAGAAAGATTGGGTGTCGAACAGGATTCAAGTCCAGAACAGATTGGTGCCATGTTGACTGTCACAGTGAGCGGGCAAAGCATGGGGGTCTATTTGGTTTAATTTCATTTCAAGGCGTTTGATTTTCTGCTTTGTAGTTCACACATATTTCAGTAGTTTGATTTGACGACAGCTTTGTGTAACACTGTATTCCGTGTGTGCGATTTGTTTTCAGTGGTTTTTACTATTTTCTACAGAAAACCACATTTTTAATACTTTTCCAGTAACCTTACTTTGTAGGCCACTATGCCCGGCTAATTTAAAGCCACTATGTGTAATTGTAATTTTTGTTTTCGTCTTGTTAAAAAACACAATTTTCTCCTGCTCAGATCCACTCTGACATATTGACACACAGATCTGCATCCAGTGGTAGAAAGTAACCACACATCATGTATTTACTCAAGAACATTTTTAGTATCTCCATTTTACGCTACTTTATACTTCTACTGCACTACATTTCAATATTAATATGAAATAATTTATTTATTTTTTGCTATTTACGTTTCACCATTTTTATTAGTTACTTTGCAAATTAGGCTTTAACATAAAAACCATGATAAGCTTATAAATGCACTTTAAAAGATTAAACCAGTGGTTCCCTTTACGATGTCTGTGAGTTGTTGGCACTTTGAGTGATTTAAACTTCTGTGGTTTCATTTGAATACTGTTTAAGGCCCAAACAGGTAAAATTATCCAATATTTCACAAAAACAGCAAAGATAAAAGTCCAAAAAACGCACAGGATAACTTTGTTTGGAGGGGCCCTACACCTAGGTTGGGAACCACTGGACAAAAGAATTGAACTGTATATAAAGTAGTCAAAACTAGCTCCACCTCGAGCAGCTACAACAGTGAAAGGGTACCTGAATATTGATGTGTCAGTATTAGAAATCTAACAGGGAAAGATGTATCCCTTTTCTGCAGAATGAGTACTTTTGATACGTTAAGTACATTTTGCTGATGACACTTGCAGCTGCCACGGGACCTTACCTTTACCGATTAGACTGGGTCTAGGAACTAAGTGGACCTGGGAAGTTCCTTGGGTCGGGGTCTGATCTGGTTGAGGGTAGTGGCTCGCATTGCCGTCTAACGCATTGCCGTCTTTTTTGAAAGTACCACTGGGCAGTAAATTCTACACATAGTGGCTTTAACATAATTTACCCTGTTCACTATAACCCTCATTCCTACCTTTAATTTCAAGTACTTGGGAAGGCAACAGAAATAAAAACTGAGAACACCATCTGACCATTGAGGTTTGACCCTCCCTCTGTTAAACCTCAGTCTACAATATCTGCTACTCCATGTAAACACTGACTGCTACCATGCTGCGTGGACACCAGCATGCCTCCTGTACACTCCATGTTGCTACAAACAGGGAATCTATGGTTTCAGCACTCCGCTACACACACTAATTCGAGCAACTTGATGCCAAAACTCTTCATTTGAAACGTCAGTTCCTCTCCTGAGCTACACTTTTGTCAGTGATGTGGAAATAGGAGCATCCGTAAAGAGACGGAAGAGGACAAAAACTAAAATATGTTTGCCTGTACAACAATGTAGCTCAATAATCACTAGTGCTCTGTGAGTGCAGAATAATAAACCACCTAACAAATAGATAATAAATGAACATTGAAACATGCTTTACCCTATGTGGTGTCAAATAAGAACTCTTTAACAGTTATATAGGGTGTGATCAAAATTATGGACAGGTCATAAGACATGTTTGCCTTGTATTTAATTCACAGGGCCAAGTGTTTTCATTGTAAGCTGAGTACATAATGTCCTATGCAAAATCTTAATTGATCGACGACTAAGCACCCACTGAATCATCAGTGTTTGCTGTTTTAAGTGTTCTCGTTGCCTGATGTGTCTGAAAGATCGAATCGAAGTGGTCGATTTTGAGTGGGAGTTGTGTACGTGTGTGTCTGTAGCCACCAGCAAGCAAGCATACCTGGCAACAGAAAACGGTACTAAGGGGAGGAAAAAAGGGGGCCTCATTCTTACAGATTGTCACAGAAAAATACCGGTGAAGACGACATTTTTTTCCATTTTTTCTTTGTTTTGTTTATATTTTTATGAAGTCATTTTGTTTCCCGTATGAGCGCATGCCACTGTCCCAGTTCCAAAATATCTGGCTGGCATCGGCCCGACTTTCCTGTCTTCATCATCCTCTTCACCCGCCACCGGCCGCAGCACTCTGTCCCTCCGGCCCTGCCCCACAACACTGGATCCATCCAAAAGGGAGAGAGGCGAGGCGGGATGTGCGGCCCCACTGCTGACCAGTCAGAACTTGAGCGGTTGTTTGTTTTGTTACCTTTTGTTGCTGTTTATTGAGAGCGCAGCAGTGGGGCGAGTCTCTGGCTTTTTCCTGGCCTCTGGTTGGCCAGGAGAGGGTCAAACTGGGGGCTGGGTTATGTCTCCTCCTTGCTGGGTTTGCTGACCGGTTTCCCACCGTTCATGACCACTGGTTCGCTGGTTGTGCTTTTGGAAGGCGGGCCCCCGGCGAGCTTAGGCACCGCCTCCCCTACATCGTGCAATGAAGGCTCTCGGTACATCGCAACTACAGGTGTGGCGGGGAGAAAAGAAGAGGATGGGAGAGGGGGAGAAGAGACAGTAGCATTGGGAAGAGAGGAGAAGAGGGAAAGAAAGAGAACGGAAGAATAGAAGAGGGGTAAAAGAAAGCATAGAGGTGGATAAAGGGAGGAATGGGAGGAGGGAGTAAGGAGAAAAAAAGGGATGAAAAGGGGTAAAAGAGAAGATAAATGAAGGGGAGGAAAAGGTGTGTCTTTACTCTGTAATCCAATAAAACTAAACATCTGCAAACATTTGAGTAAAAATAAATCTGGTCTAAAACCTAAAATGAAATTAAAATAAAACAAAAGATAAATGTGTGTATATCTTACCTTCTATAGGTTTAGGCAGGAAGTGTGCAGCTGGTTTGGTCTTTTTGACCCTGTTGCCCTTCATGGCCTGTCCCTCTTTATTGAGGCCCAGAAACCAGGCCCGGCCCGACTCCTTCTGTCTGTAGAGCATAGAGCTGTAGATCACATAGTAGTTCTCGAACACCGACTCCTTAAACTTACACTCCGCTGTAAACAGTTCCTGAGGAGACAGACAGAGAGAGAAATAGCTCAAATTATTTAACCGCAGCTACTGTTGTTTTTTTAAACCTCCACTTGTACTTTTATCTGTTGTACTGCTGAACATGAGAGAATTATATTTTGAGACGTTTTTGTCACACGATGAAAACTTCTGAACAATATTTTTGCCATGATTGAGACTGATGAGGTAGTCGCAGCTATATTAGCAGCTCCACAGGACACTTCAAGCACATGTTCCGTAGAAAAGAACCTGTTAATTACTTTATTTACAAAAATAAATTGAAAATCAATAGAAAAAACAAAATGTCAAATTTGTTGTTAATATCAACCTGCCAATATCTGTCAATGTATCAGCATTACTGTAGAAAATTACTGGAAATACTTCACTGACCCCCTTTTTTTAAAAAGTAAATTCAAAAATAGTTCCTACGTTATGTTTATGCAGAAGAACAAATGACAGCCGATTATATTGTTAACGTTATCTGATGTTGTATCAGCCTCGAAAATCCATGATTTGTGAGGTTCACCCATCAAACCCAAATCCTCTCGCAGGTAACGAGAATGATCCTCTGATTTAAAATATAATTTAACCACGCTGACCACAGACCGGGGGAAGCAGCACAGCACTGACTGAATGATGTATTGCACTAACCCATGTCATTCTCCCCCGACACTCTCTCTGTAAGCGCATGAACAACAAACTAAACAGATAAAAAAGCAGATTGATTCTGGTGACACAAAGCCCCAAAGACCTCACCCTCCCACCCACATCAGCTCTGCTGTTATGTGTCAAAACTCTTTTCCATGGCTGCCGGCGCCTCCAGCGGAACATATTTCAGCACAGAACCAAGGTGTTATTCTTACTGGGAGAAAAATCATCTCTCCCTGGTGTCCACTTGCACTACTGAGTCACAGCAAGTGTAAAAGGCAGCCTGACATAAAACATTCTTCTTTTGGGGAGGTCAGAATCAAGGCGGTCTGAGAAGTTCTGATTACTTAGAAGCAAACTGCAATTTCCTAAGCATATTTACATCCAAAAGATAAAGTTTACGTCAATAATGTAGAATTTTTAGTAGGTTTCTACTGTTTTCTAATATAACGTCAACACAGCATGGGATCAGTCTGGGATAGCAAGCATTCCTATTGTGGCTGCAGGTAATGATTATCAATAAATCTATGGATCCTTTTGGTAAATGAACCAATAATTGACTTAATAAAATGTCAGAATATAGTGGAAAAGCCCAAGGTGACATCTTAAAATCCCTTCTTATCTATCAACTAATCAATGAGTTGAGCAATTGTTTAGACAATAGCTGTGAAGTCCCAAGTCAGGCTGTGTATTTACAAGAATCTGGCGTTACGATAAGCATCATGATACAGGGGTTAGGATTTAATATATTGCCCTATATTGTGATACTGTAAGCAAGGCGATATATTGACACACTCTAAGGAACACATCATCATATGCATAAAATCTGACTTTCTATGTAACCAGAACAGTGAGATCTGCAATGTTGTGTATCTGCTTAATATTTGGACGAGATTTGATTTAGTTTTAATAGTCCTTGCAATAAAATTGGATTGTTTTGCAGCCAATATACCAAATCACAAGTGATAATTACAACACTGAGATTACATGGTAATAAAAAAGCAAAAGCAAAATAATAACAGTAAAACTGTAACAGTTATATACTGCAAAACTCGTGCATAAACAGAATATCAAGATCTTTGCAGTACCTAACTGAACTATTTAGTATGTCTTTAAAGATGTTTGAGGGGTTTTCAACAACACACAGTAATTTAATGCTGCATCAAATGAATTTTTGGCCACTTGGGGGAACGGAACATGTTGAAAGCACATCTGACATATTATCACCCTATGGCGAATAAGTTAGCAAGTAACTGCCGGTTCTCACATCCAGCAGACACCGAGCATTAACATTCATTTGGATAATTTGGATGTTTCTGTTACCATGACAAATATTCACTCTTCTTTTAGCTCTGGTTTTGGTTTTCATCAATTCCTCTTCAACTGCTAGAAGTTCAGCTTTCTTCACCAGCTGGTCTGGAACTTGCGTGCCTGCCATTTGGTACTTAGGAGGCAGATGGGTTGTCAGACTTTTTTTTGGGAGAAAATGGCTGGAAATAAAAGGAGTTTCTGGGCCTGAAAACCAAAACAAGTAGATAAAAGAGGCTGAAACGCTTTGTAGAGCTGAGGGAAACTGCAGGGTTGTTGATCATTTTGTCACTATGAGAGTGAGTCACATTAGACGTAGTCAGTGGTCAATTGTAGATATAAAGAAAATATTGATTAATGCAGCTTTAACTAACCCTATTTGATATTGCATCACTATTATCTCCCCTTGTATAACAAGCATCTTCCCTTCTTTATCAGGAAGCCTCCTAATCATTTAGCATACAATGACTGACATTTTTTCATTGAGACAATTGCAGAGGAAATGAAAAAATTGTGTTAATAAACTACTCCTCATATGGCTGAGGAGGCTCCTGCCAACCCAAACAATCGCCCCGAGGTCCCCAGACCCCAGATTGGGGAAGTGTTTGTCTAGACTGTCTCTTATTGGTTGTTGTGGGCCTCTTGCCAGAGCCACAGACACATTGTCATTCAGCTCAGGTCTGTCGGTCCGAGTCTCATAGCAACATGAGGAAGAGAGGCGACACTGTAGCCGTGGCAACCAACCAGCGCTGAGAGGGAGGGGTCAGTGGGTGGGTGGGTGTGTGTTGGGGGGCTGCAAGAGCGAGCAAAAGAGAGAAATACAAACACACAAACACTTGCATTGGTAATGTAACATACAATGTGCTTTATCTCACGTTCACCACATCCACTCAGGCTAACATAGGAAGACACTTTTTTCACAATTAAAGGCAGGGTTGGGTGGCACCAGAACACAGCTGCAAGGGATCAGACACTGGCACACACACACACACACACACACACACACACACACACACACACACACACACACACACACACACACACACACACACACACACACACACACACACACACACTTGTGGCTCTAGGGGATGAATGGAGGGAGGTGCAGGAGGGCTTTCTGGGATATGAAATGTGACTAAATGAACAAGACAGGTTATAATGAATGGATGCTCTATTTATTGGCAATGTTTCTGACACACACGCAAATCAAATGTTCTCCTTTGGTAACCATGGTTTTGATTTGTATTAACAGTCTGGTTAACTCTGTAGAGCTTAATGTGTTTCACTCCTGGACTGAATTAACTTAATAACATATATTTAGTCTTGACCTGCACCCCAGATTCATTATTCATTTGTTAAGGAGGATGATCTTTGCTGGTGTGCGGAGAGCGGTGCCAGACGCTTATTAATGTTGGTCAGCGAGGTCACACACATCATTTAATGCTGCTTTTAAAATAAAAGGTGTTTGCTGTCGAGGCGTCTCTCGGCCTTGTCTGAAGAAGAAATATTTATTCCCCGACTTAATTCAGAGGGAGAAAGTGAACTGTAGAATTGACTTCAGATGAAAACCTTAGCCTTACAGGTGAGTCATTTTAACAACACTGGCTGCCTGAATGTGCTTCTGTCGTCATTTCTAAATAGCTGTGTTCACAAGCTGCCCACAGAAAGAAGACAGGGAGAAAGAATGAATGAAAGAAATGGAGGGTGGTGGTGTTGTGGGGTGGGTTTGAAAATTGGGACATGAAGGAGAAGAGAGAGAATAAATCACCCAGTGAGGAGGACAACGCCTCCTGATTGGAAAAACAGCAGGGGATTCTCTCTCTCTCTTTCTCTCTCCCTTCTCTTATCTTAGCATTTCTCTCATCGCTCTTCTTCTCTCGCTCTGTCATTTCTCTGCAGAGATTTAGTGGAAGTGAACACACTGCACACATGCGTGCACATTGTTATCTCTTGAATAACACACACGCATACATCCATGCATCCTAGACTGAACAGCAGCTGTTTTTTCAGACGGCCGTAATCAGATAGAGAGGAGCCCATTAACATGTTAAACATCTTTCTCCAAAACACACTAAATTGATACAGGCAGCACTTTGTCCCCTTGTTCATTAAAGACCTAAAAATAAAAAACTCAAAAACAGAGTGGGAAAAGCAATCCTCAACTCTTGGCACAGCACAAGGCTGCACTAATAACAACACTTGGCAACTAGAGCTGCCCAGTGCTACCACAGCTTGACTGCTGGCCACTAGGAGCTTCCCAGTAGAAGAACATTCGCAATCAACTGGTGAATAATTACTGTTCCAATGTGTTTTCTTTGGGCTGCTGTAATGTAACAAAGCCCTTTAATCCGCAGACAATCATGAACATGTCTTGTTGAGCAGACCTGGATGACAGTACACTCTGAAGGCAGAGAGTTCAGGCCTTACTGACCAGGGCAACTGCTTAATGACTGAGGTCACAACAGGTTCTCCTTGCTCATGGGCTTAAGCCAGTCTACCCTACTTTTTCAGGTCAAAATGGCTGCTGTGAGAAAGGTCTGTTTAAACGTCATTCATTCCTTAACATAGTAATGATAGGGAAAACCCTGCAGTTTATTCTGGCATCTTGTTGGCTAGTCAGTATCACAACAGGTGATAATTACATATTGTACATTTGATAATGTAATTATTGTGACGGGGGTAGATACTGTGGAAGATTGCTAATAATAAAGTCAACAATACTAGGTTGAAAAACCTCAGTATTCACCTATTCAGTAACATGCATCTACCATTTCCACTGCACCTTTTGCTTAATGCAATTGACTTTCTGTATCAAAGTGAATGAAACAGAAATGATTGCACGGCAGCAGTCTCCTATTCTGCAGGGAGATAAACCAGACCTTCTTATCATTGCTCTACATTAGGTAAATGAAAGAATGTAAACGCAGTTACTGTGGGGTATATCATTTAGACGTGATATGGCCTAACAATGTACAACACATCCATTTCAAGGAGTGAAATGTGATGCTGAACTGTGAATCAATCCCTATGGTGGGACTACA